AACCTGTGGTGGTCATAAACATCCGGCCCAAAGAGTACTAAAACGTAATGCATAAATTGGAGCTTAATAACATCAACCTAATCAAACAGAAAGCCAAATGAAAGGTTGCAATAATGAGAATTTATGTCACCTGGAGAGTACAATGATTGTCCAGTTATTGTTTTCTGGTTGGCCTAGATTATTCACATCCCTAAGCCATTGCATAGGCCGTTGCACTTTATATCCTAAACATGTTTGTTCAAAATGTATTAGAAAAGAAATGCATGATACCATGTCCATTGATCATGAATTGAGTGGCTCAAATGTCTAGGTACTTGCTCTCGGTCATTAAAAATAAAATAAAAAATCAAACATTCCAGCCCTCCAACAGTCATTCAAATATTTTTTGGCTTGTTGTTACATGCTGATTCAACATAGTGGCTAACAGAAGGAGATATGAATAAATCATTCTGTAATTCCAATTTTATTCCAGTTGTACATTCAGGCAAATAGTGTTTCTCATCTGTTGTTTTTTTATCTACCGTACTGGGGTTTGCATGCTGATCCATTCTTTGTTTTTATCAGTATTTCTGGTTTGTTTTAAAATATATTAGAAATGCTAAGCACTAAGAACAGGCAAACAGACAGCACCCCTTTCTTTCTACACTACTGGTGTGAGTGTGTATTTAAAGGATTGCTGATCTTGGTCTTTCATTTCTGTGAGGGAGTCTATGAAGAGGCCATGCATCTTTGTGTCAATCATCCTCAAGAAAGGGCATAAAAAGCTACCTGAAAGTATGGAGAAAGTTAACAAATATACATATATAATGAAAAAGACATTTCTTATCACTATCCTTAAAACAGTATGGTTGAACTATCCTAGATGGCTTTTAAAGCACCTCTAAGTGATTCTGCACCTATGAGCCAAATGTCATTGTACTTTCAGGATGAGTCAGTGCTTATAGTTGACAGGAAACATATTCAAACAAACAGCTTACCAATCTTTGAACAAAGATTTTCATGGATGGTCTCTCCCTTCTTATTGACATCAAGTTTTTTCCAACTATGGGGATACTTCCTGCCCTTCTTCACAACTACTCTTGAGCTTCGTTTCTCAAGGAAGAGAGAGCTGTTTTTCACCTCCAGGAGGCCTTCACTGCTGTAGCAAGTCCAGCTAGGAGCCTCAGAGCAGTTGGCAACAATCACTTTGCGGGAATGCGCAGCCTTGGATCTGGTGACGGCCAGACATTGGCCAGATCTAAGATGGAGGAGCTTCTCTTCTTGCAGCCAGGTCCACTGCTGATTAATATTGGTCAAGTTGCACATTCCCACATAGGCTATTTTATGACTTTCATAAATACACTGCTCTTTTTGCTCATGGATAATCAGAAAACCATCTAAAAAAAGAAGACAAAGAATCCATAGTAACAGAGCAGAGCACCAGTTAATGTTCATAGGACAGGGACAGTAACAAAAGCACAAATTAAAGCCCATTCATTTTGTCATTTTCCCCCATCATACTTGTATATAAATAGTTCATGAATAGGTTAAAAAATGGTTTGGACAACAGAATGTCAATTTTATGAATAATGATAAAGATTTATTGAATTTCAGTCTTCACTACACTTTTTCTTAAACAACAAAAAACCTTATAAACATATAGCCAGAGTTAGAATAGATCCACATGATGAGATTAAGTCCAAATGACTTCCATGGCGACTAATTCTGGATCCTAATGTGTGTATTATGTTGGGTGGTATACATAAAATCACAGAGAATATTAGCATCAATAATAAATTAAAGGTTTAATACATTTTGTAATAGCACAGGATTCACTGAAAATGGTTGTCAGATACATTGCTAGTCCTTAAGGGCTACATGTTTGTTTCCACTTATTTAATATAAATAAGAGGTATTTTTTTTCCTAATACTGACTTGGGTGTAATGCTCTTAATTGTAATACAATTATTAATTACTTTTTTTGCTTTAATATTCAAAAGGCACAATAGGTAGCTTGAAGAATAAATTCACCAAGATAAAATCTGTTCAATTTATACCATGGATATAATAATTAATGTATTTCTTTCTGCCAAATATTCATTAAAAAGTTCCAATAAAATAGATCAATGATCTGAAATAACATGCCTAGTTAGCATTTGTTTCTACTTTTTATTTACAATTTATTTACAGCAGATTCTACCTAAAATATATTTGTAAGCATCGATATTATAACTTTCAGAAGATATGAAATTGGACCAAACAGGGCAGCGTCTCAGAGACACATGTTTAAAGTAACTTTTTAAAACAAAACTTAATTTTCTATTTGAATAAAATCTAAACAATCCTGAGTTTCCTTGGCCCATCCCTCTATTCCTGTTGTATAAACCAAAGCTTAGAAATTATTCTTTTTCACCAACCTTGTGGAAACTCCCAGGAACCCACGGGAAACACAGCCAGAAAAAGGAAGAAACATAGAAAAGCTGTAAAGTCATACTTACCAGAGACTGCAAAGGCCAGGCAGGTAGAAATTAGAACGTGAAATAAAGCCCCCATTTTCTCTCTAACAACAACCATTGCTTCTCTCTTTCTCTCTCTTCACTTTTTTTTTTTAAAAAGCATAGTCCAGATAAGTGAAGTGAAGGCTAGGAAGGAAATGTGGCTTCACAAGAGGAAAAAGTCAGTGACGAACATTTCCTTCTATTCAATTGTTTTTTGGGGGAGTTTTACACCGCTTTGAATTTCCATACAGTTCTTTACCGTGCACTATCTCTTCTATTTAGGAAAAACCAAACAAAAAAGGAGGGCATTTAAAAACAGATCTCAGCTGAGGATGAGAAGCTGTAATTTGGTTTAATTGCCTGTCTGCAGGTGTTACACTGTGTTATCCTGTAAATACCACCAGCTTTTTGTAATGACATGTTATGCATCAGTCTAGGAACATTACATATTTAGATGCCATATAGGATTTATTGGTACACCACAGGGAAGAAGGGCAAGTCTTTAAATCTCTTCCATTATGAATTCAATTGAGTATTTGGGCACTGAGCACTAACTTGCCCCATTCACATGGTAGGGCAAGAATGTCATCATTTTTCATTGTAACTTTTTCATTTGCTGTCACTTCATCCATTTTTTCCCCTACCAAACAACATTGGTTGTGAAAGAAATGAAATACTGTCTAATATCTTTTGATTGGGTTTGTTAAACACAGTCTACCTTGGACCTACCCGTTTTTGAGGTGAGGAAACCAGCATGAAGTAGCAGGCATGGCCCTGAAGGATGATTCTCTCAAATATACCTCATTTTGATTAATGCCATTGTGCTATTGATGAGAAAGGTGCCACAATTCAAGAATTGGGAATTTTGGAGCTTCAGCTTTGCAATGCATAGGTCTGCTTTGGAAATCAGATGGATTTATCATTGGGTTACAGATAAATATGTTACACAGAGTCTTCCTGTCCAGAAATGTCCCTGTAGTATCATCCGGAAAGTAGAGTTCTGACAACTTTGATCTGGCTTTTAGAATCTGCAGTGTGTAGAATTATCAGTAGTAGTAGTAGTGGCTACTGATACCTTATTCAGTGCCAGTATTAGAGTTCAACAGAGGTAGCTCTTCTCCTGCTGTACCTGTATTGCTAGGAATAGAATGGTCTGGATGGCTTAATCCTACCAATCTTATAATCTGCTTCTCTTTTGCTGGCACTAAGGGTGATAATGACCACTATTAGTTCATTAGATTATAGGGACCGAAAGATTTCCTACACATTACTTCTTATTACCCAGATAGAATAGTGGGAAGACATATTATATATAGATCCTGGAGAAATGTCCATAGGCAGAATGTTCTATCATTGAATGCAACCTGTAGGTACTCCAACAGGAAAGCAAAAAAGTAGCAACATTTGATGATAATAACTGAAACAAAATTTTAAAAATTACAAGCATCTTTGTATGCAGTTTATTGACTACATGAAGCAAAGGTAACATCATTTGCTTTAGAAACCTATGATTAAATTGTGTGCTGAAAACCTTTGAGTCTGCTAAAGGCAGAAATGCCAGCTGTATCTTTTTTTCCCCTGTAACAGACGGGCAAAGAAAAAAAGATAGAAGCCTTATGTTTAATAAAGCTTTCAAGATTTTGTTTCCCCAAGCATCCAACTCACATATGAATAGAGGGTTTACAACTTTTTCAAATTAAAAGACAGGGAAATATTTAAAATTTTATCATATAAATATATGTTACAAAGATAGATTTTTTGTTTGTTTGTAAAACGACTCAGATGATTTACACATGTACAGAATTCTGTCCTGGAGCAAAAAAAAAGAACAAAACCAAAAAACCCAGTTTTTAACACAGAAAGTGGGATTGAATAAATGCATAACTATTGCAAAATGACACTGGATGCAACTCATTAGGGATTTCTCTTGACTAAGCTTCACTGAAATTAAGTGGAAGTTCAAAAGAACACAGCGATCTTCAGTAAAATGCATTCCTTTTTAAAAAATAACTTAATCTTTTTTTCAGTAGGATTTGCACAGGAAATGGTTCTTGTGTTGCACCCATTGTGTTCCCCAATGCTTTACAGAATTCACTATTTGCATTAAATATTTATGAATATTTACTAGAGTCATCATATAAAATACTAACTGATTTTTATAATTTAAAAACGCATAAATTGATTTGTTTTTTCTCTGAAGGATGCTGTGGTTATTATTTGCACTCATAATCACCCCCTTGCAGCTTTTATCAGCAAGAATCCCAAGGTAAGTTTACCACATAATAGGTAGTAGCACTTAACAGGTACAATTGAACATCTGACTGGCTATTCACAAGACAGACTTTGCAAACATTGAAGCATGTATACACATTTCTTCAGTGAAATTTCCCACATCCAGTTGTTACACATACTGTACATACATACATACATTCAGTGTTTCATATTCCATTAATACAGAAATAAATCTTCCTTAATATATGCACACACACATATGTGTGTACGTGTGTGTGTGTGTGTGAAAAATTCAATGTAACATCAGCATATTAACCTTCATTAAGACTGTTTCAGGAACTCACAATACATTCAAGACAAGAGTCCATCAATCTTCAATGCTTTTTTTTTTTAAATCATCCACATTCCTTTGACAGGTTGAATACTCCGCTTCTCCTTCTATAGCTGTCAACTCCTTGAAGAAGTTGCTGGAAGGTAATGAAACAAATTACCTCAAAAGAAAGTGACCTGTTACTTTTTCCCTCTTGGTTTCACTGGACAGCTTCAGCGGAGAGCCTGCTTTCATACAGATTCAACGCATGATGAACAAATTCATACTGTTCACTTGTTTGGACCATTCCACCTCTGAAAAGCAAAAGAAAGCAAAGCAAAATAAAAAAGTAAAGTCTAGCTGATGACACAATAGATTTTTCTCCCCTAAAACAATTTGATAGTCTGTCTGTGTTTGTGTCTGTGCCTGTGTCCAGTCATATTTCCATTCTAGTTTGGCAGGGGATGACATCATTTCAAATACCATCAAAACCGACAAAAGCAGGATGAAAGAAATGTGTGAGCACACCATGGAAAATTACATCTTGGACCATTTTCAGTTCTCTGCACTCATAGCTGGATCTGCAGCTCAGCTGGGGCAAAGTATAAGTGTTCCAGTTGCAGCTGAACTGATTTTCCCAGAAGGCTGCTTTCCAGCAACCACAACAATAACAAAAAGGAACTTTTCGGCTGTCCTCATTCCCTACAAAACAGCTACTAATGAATTTTCTCTGAATAGTCTTTGCCTTAAATATTCTCCAGCACTGGGCATGACTGTGTATTCGGCAGCTACCATCTTCCTTCACCACACTCCAAAATGATGCTTGGGCCCAAGTATTGAGGAAGATCAAAATGGTAGCCAGGTTGCCCTCACAATGACTGCTGTTGCACTTGCAGGAACAGCGTGTCACACAGATGCAATTAAGAAAAATGAAAAAAGCTGGGCTAATGGTTAGCTAACCCCAACATTTCATGAAATAGGTGTCCAGTTTCTATCCTGCAAAAGAACGGTGAGCACTTACGCATAGCTGAATTCTGGCATCTACTGTTACTACAATTACTGCTGAAATTGCTTTTCAGACACAAAGTTATACTGTTGGCAAATGAGAATTAAATATCTGCGCTCATGTCGTTTATGTTCCCTTGACAAAGAATATACTGTGGAATGTAACACCAGATGTATACAACCTTGTCACAAGCACATTGTCCAACTACAGAGCTCTTTTCCTTTGAATAGAAAGAAAAACCGAAATTTTGCCAAAGTTGAACTAACTTTCTGCAGCATTGCCAAGTTTTATTTTTTAGTAACCCACACTAAGACCAATCTGAATCATTTGCATGTTGCATTTGTTGTAAGTGTTAAAATATACATAGGAGCTCAGAATAGGGAAGACCACAATCTACTGCATTTAAACTGTATCTTTTGACTGAACCTCTTCAGTCAAATGTCTTGATTTGGTTTGCCTTTCTTCAGAGGATGCTGCCCCAGCCCTTGAACTATTTACCAGGTTAAAATTCAGAACAAGCAACGTGCATCTTCAAACGTATAAGAAAATCTGAACGCGGCTGCCAATGTCAATGCACTTGCATTCTGACAATAAATGTGTGACCTGTTATGGCCCTAGAGCACATGTACAGACTGCAGGTTTTCCTGTTCTTTTTCTACTGCCTCGCAGGCTTCCTGTCCCACCAGCTGACATCGAAGAAATGCTGCAGCCATGACTCATTTCAGCATCGACAGAAGAACTGTATTTAATCTGACCATAAAAGTAAAATATATGGCTCGGATACTTTTAGCAAATCTGTTCTAAAGGCACGTTGTGCAATTCTGCTAAGCTATGGAATAAAGTGGCCATTCTCAACCTGGCATTCTTCCAAGCAGACTACAGCTACCACACAAATAGCCTGGCTGATGATAGGATGAGAGGAACCATAGTCCAACCCATTGTAGGGTGTCAGGTAGAGGAACCTTAGAATTTACAGAAAAATATAAAAGGGCACTGCCAGCAAGAAAAGATCAAAGAACTACTGCCAACATTTATCTGCTGATATGTTGCTTTCTGTGCTTATGTGTATTAAAGTGAAACCTTTTGTGTTTTGCTATATATACATATATGAGTTTGCCCCTAAGATCCATAGCAGAGGGCCAAAGCAACATGAAGATGGTATGGCATGAATGCATCTCCATTAATTTATTTACTTATTATTGTAAATAGGCACAAAGGGTGTGGACTGAAATGTTGGATTAAGAAGAAATTGAGTTTGTGAAAACCTTAAACTGATTTTACACACAATGCAGCTATTGGCCTGTTAAGTTTGCTTGCTTTTATCATCAGTTTGTTTTTCCTAGTTCCTACAAAACTTCAGAATTGCAGTGGTGATGACAGGAATGACAGGGAGACCTAAAAATATTGGGTGGCAAATATTAATCGATTTTGTATCCTACGTCATCCTACCTGTCCAAGCGCAGTTGGCAGACAATACTCAATGCGTCAACAACTCCTTCTTCCCTCAGCTGATGGCAACCAATTGCAGTAGCAATAAAACACCCTGTTCTTCCTATTCCAGCACTGTCAGGGAAAACAATTAAACCAAAGCTGAAGAGAATTAAAATGACAATTTATGGCTTGTATCAGAGGTTATTTAAGCTTTGAAATATTCTACGTAAAAGACAGAAAATGGCTTTGTTCCTAATTTAATCATGGGATAAACTCAGAAATCCATTTAATTTTTTTAGTAGAATTTAATTTGTTTGGTAGCTTAGCAGTTTAACAAATGTAGATTAGTTGAATCTTTTGATTTCTATTCCACGCAAACATATATGTTTATGTAGATGAGGGTGATGTTTAACTTTTCTTAAAAATTCAGCTCAATTCAAGGGCTATATAAACTTCTAGAATACCTAAGTTCTTCTAATATATTACAAAAAAAGACACAATTTACAAACTGATATATGTCTATTTTTTTTTTAATCTCTGAGAATATAAAAAGTATTGCATATTCTTAAATCACCTTCTTAGTTTTCCAGGCATTTTTGTATTTTTCCTCTTTCCTTACATAATTGAGCAGATCATAATACAAATATGTACATTTCCTGCCACAGTATGGTAAACATGTGCAACTACAATTTTTCTGACACTTTAAAAATCCACAATTCAGAAGAGAAGATGAGGGGGAAATTCATTCAGTGAACTGCTAGCAAAACAAGCTCCCCTCATAGTGGATGAGAAAATAGATACTTTCAGCTCAAGGCATGACGTGATGCACATTGTAAATGATTATCAAAAGGGGATCTTACTAAATTTCTGGTGTAAGGGAAATTCAGTGAACTATATGTTTTCCAAAAATAGGATCATCTGCTGAAGGGATGTTCTGGATTACTATCTGCTTTGAATGCAAACTCCTTGTTAATTATTGTTTGTTGTAAATTAAAATCAGACTTGAGATTGACCAAAGAGTGAGATGTTGGGCAATTCCACACTGCAGTCTATGCTGCTTGTCCCCATCCTGCTCCTGTCTGTTTCTTAAGCCAGGTTCAGAAATCCAGTCCAGATTCCAATTGTCAATGGGGCCAGCTGGTGCTCAGTCCAAGCTATGGTTCTTGGAATCTCTGATTGGTTGTTGCCCTGCTTCTTGCCCATCTCATCCATGCAGAAAGGCCACCTCATTGACTGCTCTTTGGTGGACTGGTCTGCCAGTGCCTACCTTTTCCTTTTAGGAGTTGTTCCTTTTCCACCAGTCCCCACGCCATTCCTTGGTTTCTCAGAAGTTGACCCTGATGGATGCCTTCCCCTCTCCTTCCCATCTTATCTCCCTCAACACTAAAGTAGACCCTCCTTTCTGCTCACTTTTATGGCATTGTTACTCTGATGCTACAGTAATCAAAGCATCAGGGGAACAGGCTGTTCTTTGGTTCCTAGCTTTCTGGGTTGATCCGTGGAAACTTTGTAACAAGGAGGAAATGATAATTCAGCTTCATTAAAAACAAACTTGCAGTGTTTCTATGTTGCAACTTAAGGTTGTGTAAAAAATAAAGGGAAGGGAAGGGAAACGTTGCAATATTGCTGGCGGGGGGTGGGAAAGAAAGGCAACGTGCTTCGCCCAGACGGGGCATTGATCAAAAGGGTGTCCACCAGGAGATGCCAGGGTTGAATGGAGCATAATCCTCTAGGTTTGAGCATCATTCACTGACTTAATAGGCCATTTTTGGATCAATGGCAAGATTATAAAAAATGCAGAGAACATAGCAGACCTGCAGGCCAGGGCAGTGATCAGACGCGAGAGGGAGGGAATGTGCCAAGCCCTGCCATCATCGCAGTTGTGGCTGTAACTGTATCAGAACAAAATGCTGGAGACTATCCACTCTGGAGAGCTTACAACTGCTCAGGTACGAAAACAGCAGTTTTGAATCGAAGCTGGAAAACATGGGTAGAGGGTGCATTTGGGGTGGGCTAGAAGTGGGAGGAGGACAATGACATCTGTTCCTGCATTTAGGAAGTGCTAAGTGGCTCATCCTGGAATAGGCCAAGCAGAAAGCGTGGATCTTCCCTGTGCTAGAAGGCCGCTACTGAGTGCCAAATCTGTTTTAAACAGCAAATGGAGAACCTGTCTGTATTAAGGAAGTACTATATTAAGGGGAGGGACTTTTGTCTTTTGGACAATTGTAGAAGTACAGGTAGAACATAACATTTGCATGAAAAAGGTCCCAGTTTTAATCATCACTATGTTCATATTAGGCTGAGAAAGATTCTTGTCAAAAGCTTGGAGAAATATTTCTAATGTGGACTGAACTGAATGAAAGGGAAAGCTGCTTCTAATGTAAACTGAAATAAGTTAAATGGGGCAGCTTTTCACTTTCTTGATATGCACTATCAGCATTTGAAGAACATATTTTTATTCATATTTTTTCCTATCCTCCTCCATTAAATTTTAAGGTGAAACATCATTTTTTAAAAGGTGAAAATACCTGCAATGAACAATTATAGGTCCTCTATCAGTTGAAGCCATCCTGTCCTCTTCTACATCCAGCATGAGTTGCAAAAGAGGTTGAGCACTGACTGGAGTTTTGTGATCTGGCCAGGAAGTGTACCAGTAATGTTTGACATCCCTTGACTGGTTTCCTTGCTGAAAATTATGAACCAAATACAGTATTTTGTTAACAACATCACTCACTGAAAATGAGGCACAATCTGATTTTGCACTCTGTAAAGCAAGTACTTCTATGGAAGTCAAATGGTAGATTGGCATTTGGGCCCCAATGTGTTTATGGTGACTGGAAAGGGGATATCCTTCTCTCCTTCTATAGTTGGCAATGAGAAATTCTGCATATATAGGCAGGATATCTTTATTGGTGCTTGGCTATCATCTGGCACCCCCAGGCAAAGAGCATGAGATCCCAATAAAATCTGCAATCAAACTGTAATCAAGCCACCTTGGTAGATTACAATAGGGATAAAGACTAAACATGTCTCAGAAATGTTATTAGCATGAATAAAGTAGAAATCTATTTCATTATAGATACATAACCTTTCCCAAACTATCCTCTAGGCATACATTGTAATTTTCCTATTTCATAGTTAGCACAACTATCATATTTGGAGGGCATTTGGTTGAGGAAGGCTGACAGCCTTCAAATATTACTGCCATGTCTTACTCATAATTTAGGATACTATACATACCTTATGGTCTATACAATATTATATTATGCTGCCATAATAAACAGGTATGTTGATGCATAGGGTTGGGCTGCCAGCAGGTGAATATAGTCTTTTATATATTCGATTCTTTAAATATGATATTTTCTTGGAACCTGTTAAATATTAAATTTGTGTTCTAGTCCAACAGATGGTATAAACTATATAGTGGTTTGAAAAACAACAACATCAAATCAGTACCTTTAATGTAAGATTGCGGACAGTGTAATTCTCACATTCTTGAACATTGTCAACAAGTACTTCCACTTTTCCATATATCCCTCTTTTCTCTGGCCAATACAGCACACATTTCTAGAAAAAGGTTTAAATAATGTTTGATCAAATAAAATAATATTTCAAGTTTATTTTTTTTCTTGAAAGTAGTAATTGTCACAAATATTATGACAGCCATTGTAACTGCTTTATCATTAATATTTCTAGGATTTTACATGGTAAATTCCTAATAACATAAATTGACACAAAACCTATTTGCATATCTTGTAAGCTCCCCTAATAACATGTTTATAAGGTGGCATATAAATATTTCAATAAATAAAAACTGCAACAGAACGATATCCTGTGGAGCATTTTTGTTCCAAGATTCATAGAATACTCCATCTTAAAACCCTGTCTAAGACTTCTGTTCCCATCCACTCAGCATTCCAGCTTAATTTATATTGCTTCATTTAAATGGCTTTTTAATATAAAAAAAACAATGTATTTATTGTCAAAACATGCACTGTTGATCATTAAGAGTAAGATAATTGCTTAAAAGATGAACTAAACAAGGTAAGGCCTTCTTAATGGCTCCATTCTCTGGAATCAACTGCCTGATCACCCAGGAGCGTTACAAGCTGTCAAGAAATACTGTTAAGTTTTACTTTTCAAGCAATAAAAAAAAGGACCATAAAGAACCAGAATGATGTTTAATTAACTTTTAACTGACAGACCAACTTTTCTATGACCAAGTTTACTTAATGATTGGCTTTTACTAGTTAATAGGGCTTCTGAAGGCCTGAATTTAATCTGTATAACTACATATTTTATTTTATACTTTGATGATTTTCTTTCATCTACCTATAACCAATATAGAGCTTAAGAAATCTAAAAGGGACATCATGTTTTAAAAATTAAAAAGAAAAAGCTAAATATATTTACATTCACAAACTTTAATTCTGTTTCATTTTTATATCTGGCAAAAAGCCTAAGAAAATACTTATTTCACAATCATCAATAATATGCTTTTTTTCCAATTGTGGAATGTATTAAAATTATTTTCAGTTTTAAACATACAGTGAGTTGGATCTATACCTAACAGTGTTAAATACGCCCATTTCATTAATGGGACTTAATTGGTTATATCCAGTATGTCCCTCGTGATTTCAAAAGGTCTTGAACTCCAGTTTAAATAAAGATCTAAAGATAGAGAAGCCTCCACCCAAAACAAGTGCTGTGTAACAGCACAGCAGATTATTGGACAAAGAAAGAGAAATAATATATGTATTATTGTTCAATCATTTAAAAGGATATGAAGATTATAACATATACCTGAAATAATGCTATTCATATAATCATTCTTTAGAAGCTAAATGGCTGCACACCAATGTTTGGAATAAAGCAATTGCCAAGAAAAAAAATCTATTACTTAAAGCCTTGCAAAATATCCCATCAGTAAAGCAAAGGAAAAAAAAAAGCTTTTACAATAACTGATCATGACATTACTTTTTAACAATCAATGCCCTTGCCTTTTTTTTTTGAAACAACAACAACAACTTCTTTACCTGATATAAATTCAGCATTTATGTGATGACCATCTATTCTGTTACATGAAATTACACTGCCTAATGTCAGAGGGTCCATTCAAAGAGAAGGATTGAGCTGCCCTCTGGAAATCAAAGAGGTCCGCTACTAACACGGTCAAAACACCGCCCTCCTTTTAAGCTTGTATTCAAATGTTCAAGCTGCTAGCCCATGTGACCCAGGGGACACTTAATGACATGGAAAGACGAATAATGATACAAGAAGTCATCATATATGCATTCCCCTCCCTGGGAAGACGTGTTCTTGCCAACATTAAGAAAGCCAACATAAAATATTGCAGCCTATTCAACATCCTTCTGTGATTTCTTGATAATAGATCAACTATATTCAACTCCTTAAAAGCTCTAGGAATGTTTTTCTTACCTTGTTCCCAGACCTTTAACTGGCAGACAGCTTTGGGTGGACAATGCAACATATTGTTCACTTAGACTACCTACCTCACAGCTGCTTCTAACTTTCAATATGGCCCAATAGATTTATTTTTAACACATTACTGCTAGTATTCTAGCAAGATCCACTTGGTACTGAAGAAGGAACAAAGGGCAGTTTGTAAACCCCAGTATGCAGTAGTCACCCAATTTGCTAATATGCAGCAGAAAATTAGTAACACAATTATAAGCAAATTATTTATGCTGTACCATGAAACCAGTTAACCCAGGACAGACAGCTAATGAAGGTCATATTTAGATGCAAATCTGGAATTCAAATTCACATGTACCAGTTTGTAATACTGTATATTTTACGAATTTTGCATATTTGCTACAATTGTTTAGACATCAGTCACATGGTTTGGTGAACAGATGTGGAGGTCAAAACTGACACAAAGTCAATGTAATGGAATAGAAATAGAAGTTGTAATTCAATATCTTATCATTATTAATTTTATTTTTATATTGCCATTCTCCTCAAAGTTCTATATAAAATAAAAATATAAAGCATTTTCAATAAAACAGTTAACATTGAAACTACTGATTAGGCACAAGTTTACTTTAAACTATTTTAAATTAAATTATTTTAAATTTAAAACAAGCTGATAACTAAACTCCCCCCCCCCCCTCCTTTTCACTGAATTTCATTTTCTTCTGAGTCTCATTTTGGGTTGCCACAAGTGGCAGACAGAAATGCTAATTACAAAAAGATTTGATTTGCCATCTGACTTTTAATGAACATGTTCGTCACTGGTTTATAGCTATTTCTTAAAGTATTGTCTAAACTTTTCAATAAAGCCTCATTAGTGTGAACACAGTGCTATAATGCATCTTCAGTGCACATCAATTGCCTGGAATAAATCAAACACAAAATTAAATCAGCAGTCTCTTGTGCACACTGACTCAACCAAAACCCTAATTAAAACGTGGCCAAATATGCAAAAGGACTGTGCTGAAAATGTCCCTTTTTGAATCTCATTGCTGAATCATACAGGTTTTTTTGTATTACTTGCTGATATCAGGTTGCCCAGCCTGTGACTCCAGGGCTGGATAATCAATGTGATATAATTAAAGACTCCAACTGTGTTTTATCAGAATCTAGATATAAAATCCCATAAGTTATCCATACAAAGTCCATAATTATATTAAAGTGCCCATAACGAAAGCTCTCATAACAATGGATATCTTAATTAAACTATGTATATGCAAACTATTGGAAGTATATTGTGGTACTATTTGGCTAGACAAAAATAAAATAAAATAAAATAAAATAAAATATAAATAAAATAAAATAAAATAAAATAAAATAAAATAAAATAAAATAAAATAAAGGGAAGCCATGAGATGGAAAGGAAAGAGTATAATGGGGAAAAGACTATAACAAGTAGAATTTTGGAACCTTACAAAATCATTGTAGTATGGGAAGCTGTGATCTTCCAAATATTATAACCAACTCCTAGCAATTCTCACTGTTAGCCATGCTGATTGGAGCTGTTGAGAGTGATAGTTTAGTAACCCATGAGAGCCATCCCTGGGTTGCATGACTGATCTATCTGCAGGGCCTCAGTAAAGTAGTAATGAATCCATTAGTAAAGATTAAAAAAACGGCAGATATATATTGGGTACAATGTGCAAAGGATAGATTATGTGTTATTGCACAAGTCTGGCAGAGCAATACAAGTCCTAAAGAAAAATGGAAAAGAGCCAAGCTTCATTGATCAAAACTGGCTAAGAAAACTGAGATTCAACTGGAAACAAAAGTTATCAGTGAATGGAACCTTGTTGTAGCCTGCTATAATAAATGTGACCCAAAACTCTCAGATAACTACAAGAATGTGGTTATTCTCAAATAACACAGCAATTGGTTTTCTGTCGTTGATAATTTGGGTTATTATCACGGAGGGGTAGAGAAAAGAATAGTCCAGAAGCTTTGCTTCGTTGCCAGTACTCAATTCTTTTCCAAGACTCTATATGGACTTGTGGTTTGAGCTCCTCTCTATTTGTGGCTTTTAATTTTGTTGTAGAATACAGAAGTTTCTGTTGGAGTGATGATTTTGCTCCAACTAAAATCAGAATGAGAAACACATTCATGCCTATGTTTTAGCCTGACTGTCTTAGAGGGACATGGGAACTATAGCTCTTAGGTTTTAATCTATCCTTTCAATTTGTCTCCTGATTTCTTTGTATTATCATCAGTCTTAATGTTCTGCTGATTTATTGCTTGTAGAAACATATCCCTTTTCTTTGATATCATGGTTTTAACAGGGGATTAAATAAATTCATAGAGGATAAAGTTATTATGGCTGCTAATATAAAAATCATTGTATTAATTAATTATTAATTACTTAATATTAATTGAGTGGACATGCTATAGATTACTGTGGTCATTCCCTGCATTCAGCTGGCCTCTATAGGAATACAGCTCTTACTTTCTCTGTGATTTTCCTCTCAGTGTTTCTTACCTCTGATTTTTTTTTTCTTCAAATCAGGCAGTAATATTAAAGTGTTTCTCTGCTTTAAAAGGCACTGGCACCAAAATGGCACCAGCCAGGGATGAGGGAGAAACATCAGAAGATTTGGTGAAACCATAAGGCTTGAAAAAGTTCATAAAAACTTGAGAGAACTTTAGAGAGAAAAAAATAACACCTTAGAGGGAAAACAGAATTTATTTGTTTATTTGTTTATTTATTCATTTATTCAATCAATCAATCAATCAATTTATATAGCCACCCCTCTTAAATACATGAGTCTGGGTGGCTCACAGAAATTAAAACTATATAAAAAACAAAATAATCTAATGAAGACAATACCATGGAATACTGGCTGGAAAGAGCACACCACTGTATAACATTTTGTCTTAGATCCAGATTCTAAATATATAATGCAATGAATGAATGAATGAATGAATGAATGAATAGTTCGATAGATCAGGGTACCCTTCAAATATATCTACCATGCTATAATATTTTCTCTGAATTGGCCACTGTAAGAACCTTTCCTCACTATGAAAGTTCATTAGCTTTTGCTTGGATCAGAATATGACATCCTGATTCCTGTTGCTGCCCTGGCTACTTAACAAAATGTATTGTTGGTGGCTGGAGGAATGGGATAGAAGGATAAATAGACGATGCTGATTGTTAAGAGAATAAACATGTATTTCTCATGCCCATCCTAAGATATGGGAACCTTGAGGGATCTTCCAATGACTGATTAAGGTTGGATAGGTCACATGAAGTCACATAGTCACTTCTTGACTTTTGCAGGGAAGAGGGAGGTGAACAATTTATACTGGGTCTGTGGTGGATAGAGTAGGAAAAACTAGTTATTTTCCACAGGTTGCTCATTTTCCCCCTTTGCTATATATGGTTGCAGAAGAAATACCTGGCCCTCCCTTCCAGTGCTTGGAAGGGAGGACATGTTCTAATCTAATGTTATTAGAAAGACAACTCCCTGTTTTCCCTGAAGGACGATTAAGGAAAAAATGTGTGAAAGGTTTCTCCACAATGGCACTGCTACATAAAAACCTCTTCTAGTTCGATAAACACATTGCAAAGTAAAAAATATAACTGATTAGGATATTTCAGTGGGCAGCAAAAGATGTTTATCTAAAACAGATTGACCATTTGGATATGTATGTTTACCTATGCTTTCATAGTGTTTGGAAGCCTTACTTCTTGTAAGTATTTACTGCTCTCTTTATTGGATAAACTGTTCTCTTTCCCTAAGCAAATCATATAACAGAAAAAGATTCTTCTACCATACAAAGCATTCTTAATTTTTCTCCCAGAATTTTTTGATCAAATATGAGAAGCTCATATAAACATAGATGTTGGCCATGTAGCCTGGGAATTCCTTAAGAAGTCTCTGTCTTTTTTATTATGAGGAAATTGCTACCGCCAGTCTAGGACAATGCAGAGAAACAGTATTGTAATGAGTGGGAGCAATTCAGGTAAACACAGGGCTTCCTGATATGTTGAGAATTACTGTGTGTTTCTTTCAAGTCATTCTTTTCAAGCAGTGTTAGAAGTGGTTTTTTTTTAATTGCTTTTCCTTTGGGAAAAATATTTGTTCTGTGTACCATATTCTAATAGGATGGGTTTTCAGAAGTATTTTGATCAGTCCTGATAAGGCACTACTTATAATATCTCATATTTCTTTAGAATTCATTCTTTTATAGATTTTGGAGATAGATATGAGATAGGATACTCCTTGTATAGAAAGCTGTCTAAACTCTTTTCCTAATCAGAACCCAATATTTGCTTCAATGAACAAATGGACCTATTATTTGGAAGGGGGACTCTGCTAATTTCTGAAAAATAATTTCAGTCAAGGGATGCAGCAAACTTCTAAGGCAATAAAGGCCTTTAAGGCCTCAGGGCTTCCACATTTAAATGCAGGTTCAATCAGATCCTATCCCTGACATCTCCAGAAAGAGCTGGAGAACACTTTGAAATGCTGGAGAGGTGCTGTCAGTCTAAGAATATTGTACTACATGGGCTGATTTAATATAATGCAGAATTTTATGGTCATAAATGGCTGGACTGATTATTATATATTGAGTAATTACTGATGAATGGGAATTTCATAGTAAGATTATTTCTTATGCTACCATTTCAAGCTCTGAGAAGTAATTCTGATTTTTTAAAAAAAAATGTTTTTGCCTATATTGCATATTGATGACTTTAATACTGTTATAAAGAGTAAATTAGTTAAGTTATTCTTTCAAAGTTTTTGGTAAAAGTATACATTACATGAATGTATACATATAATTTTACTATGTATCACTGATAGAATGAAAGAGACACATGTGCCAACTAATGAACTCAGAAGTTAGGTCAGCATGCTTGAGAGATGAAACTGTTTTTTTTGAGGTCTACTTTTTCTTTCTCTAACTCTCAAATTAAACTACCTTACAATGTTGTTCTGGGAATTCTGTCCTGAACCCTATACTAGGATAAAAACAGTATTAAAGTGAATACTCAGACAAGTAGCACATGATACTTAATAATCGTTTTAGAGAAAGTTACATAGTATTTCTAGGAGAGGTATGTGTATATAACATACACTTTTTGTTATTACTTAGGATAATCTATCTCGTGTCCTTCAGGGTAGATAACATTTAAAGATAATAAACAATATATATATATATATTCATTCATATTTGCCACTAATTGGAAATATATTTTTTGTTGATCAACATGTTTTAATCTATTAAATATTGCAACTACTTAGGTATTTTATTTCATTTCAGTTTTAATATAGTGTTATGAACAAGATGTGTCATTTAGGATCTTGAATATTTGATAGTAGTATTGGCTGTTTTTCTATTTCCAAAAAAAAAAAAAAGTGTCCATAATTGATTAAGCTGAGAAGTCTTACCTCATTTTTCTCCTTCAGCTTTGTGATCATAACAATAACGGGACTGTCCTCTTGCCATACCATCAGCCAGAAATCATTCACAGTATTAATCATAGGCCCCTGAGTTGCAATGAAAGCTTTCTCTTGGCCACCATAACCCTAATTTAGACACAGATGGAACAGTCATATTAAAATTTGTGATTATAATGGGCTGAAAAGGAACAAGAAAACAATTAACACATCTTGCACAATGCTTCAATTAAAAGGCCAATACACTTTGGAACGATTGTTCATTTTTATGCAGTCTACTGTTGATAGTATTTTACTGAAAGGGCAGCAGAAGCTGATGGCAGAGGACTAAGCCAGAAGTTCTGACAAGAGAAGAACTGAATGGACAACATGAAGATGAAATATATGTTGGCAAGTCAGCACACTGCGCATCAGTGTACTTACTCTGATGTAGTTAGCATTTATGTAGGTGCTCAAAGCATCCCCTGGGTTCCTTGGTTTCAAATATACCCTGCTTACAGGATCTGTAAAGACAGCACAGATGGAAATGGAAATGAAAACCCAAAGAAGTAAAGGGAAATGTCATAAAAGCATAAGGATTATTTTAAAAACTTGTGATGATTTATGCAATGATTTTGACAGCTATAGGTATGAGGATGTGTTAAGAATCCCTCCAAACATTCCAGAAAAGCTGTGAAAGAGATACATGAAGGATTCATACTGCCTTCTTCCCACTGCTTTTGAGTTTTGTCCAAAGAAAATGGGGAGGAGAACCTATTTCCCAGATGCATATTCTCTCTATGCAAGGATAGGATACCCCAATTTTTCCATTTTTTTTAAAGACTTGGAAGTATGAAGGGAGAAAGTATATCGTATCCTTATGAGAACATCTGAGATAGCATTCAGAAATTAAAACCTAGTTGTGTCACAGAAATATTATTCCCAATCTCCTATTGTCAGATGAAGTGGGCCGAGGCTTATGCTTACCTCTCTTATTGCGACACTGGGAGGGATCCATTTTGTCTCCTCCACTTAATATCCTTCAGAAAGGCCACTTCTTGGGCCTTTGGGATAGAGTCCTTTTGCAGTGAACTCAAGTGCTGCTGTTGAATTTCTACCTGCACCAGAACTGGCCTCCAAAGCGGAGGGGGAATTAATCCCATCCAATTTAAAGACTATCCAGATTACTGTACTCATACAAGCGTACCATATTCAGTGGTACTCCATTCTGAATCAGAATATACCGCATTGCATTTAAAATGTTCAACTAATCCTATTTTTCTGACACATAGAAGATTATTTCTTAAGATCCTGACTTTCTCTAGGCTATAGAAGCCTGAGTTTCACCTTTACTACTGACAATTGAGGAAACTACATCAACTAAGGAGAAGGGAAAGCTGGATCCATCTTCTGCCAGATTAATTACTAGACTAACTTCCTAGCAGCTGGCATGGGTGCAAACCAAGGATACAAACTTTGATGGGGAACACATTTCTAATCATGACTGCTTAGGTCCTCAGCATTGCTGTGGCTATTTCAGGGAGTGAACTGGAGTCTGCTTTTTGGTTTATTCTTTTTTCCCTCTCCCCCTTGCCATTGCCACATAATCACAGTTGTGATCATATGGATCTTCAGCATATGTTTTTAGCAGAATCAGATTCTTGAAGAAACATACTTTGACCACAGAGGATAGAAGTAGAGAAATTCAAGACACTTAAATTCTATTGATATGAATCAACTACTTCAACAGAAATTTCCAGCAGTCAGTTAAATTATTTAGTTGTTAAAGTTTATGGTAGGACAAATGCTTATTTAATTTTCCATGCAAGTTGGCATATCTATACAAGTTGGGGCCTAAGAAGTCAAATGCAGTCCATCAACTGAAGTTGTGATAATAACAACAATGCATATCAGCAGTTTTTTCAAAGAAAAACATAATTTCACACACCACTTTTCAATCATCCCAGGTTGCTCTAGTTCAAGAGCCACCTACAAATTAAGAATTAAAAAGTTGAACATAAATAGTGGACTGATAATAGGATAGTGGAGGTTTAAATGACTTTAAACCAACTTACTTGGAAGAATGGTCTTATAACGATTTTTGGTTCCATGACTAGGGATGTCTATTTCTTTAGGATTGACAAAATTCATGGGGATTTCCTAAAGAGAAAGAAATAAAACACAGACAGTATACTTAGTATCAATGTTAATAAGAGATTTATTGCAACTTGTATCACAAAGCCACAGCATTGTTGTTTTTTAAAAAAAATAATCTGTGAGTTAGAGATTTTAAGTTAAAGAGCAGCAAGGCTGTTGGATGGGTTATTTATTAATTTAGATCTATAGGTCACCAAATCAAAAGACTCTAGGTAACCTGCAAAGTTAAACAGAATATATAATACAATATAAAACCACATTCACTCATATAGTGGTCAATTCTTGCTGGTCACAGATTCAAAATTGGCTCTCCAAGAGTCTCAGAATAAAAGTACTACCCCACTCAACTTCCTTTGCAAAGCCTTGAGTCACAGCCTGACACATATTTGATCACTACATTTTGGTTTGGGTATTTCAGATACATCAGTGAGTGCTTGCCTAGCCTAGTTTCATCCACATTAGTGATCCTAAGCTATTTGTCCCTTAAGCCATCTTTCTGGAATTCCATTATCTTTGCTTGATGCATCAGGAGACCTAGGAATGCTATGTAGACCTACAGAGAATTGGAGGTCTACATAGAAAATCTGATTTTATAACAAGGAATTGGATTCAGCAGCTGTTTACTCAATTGTGATTTAGTGAAACTATGAAATGATGCCAGGACATTTTTGTTCCAAATGGTTAAATGTTTTAAATTTTTATATGTGTGCTGGGGCAATGCAATTTTAGAACACTGGTTGGGCATATCTAGTTTATAACCCTGTCACTGATAGCCCAAAACATTTTGCTGCTTCAGCAAGGAATTCAGTGATCAGTATAAATGCCAGAGGAGCATCCTTCTGGAGACCACAGAAAGTTACAGAAAGTTTTTAGTTTTAAAACAACAAAGCAGTGATTATAGACTTACCATGAATTCTGTCTGAAGTAAATGAGAACTTGCAACTATGTCTTTTAATTGCTCTTTGGTCAAGATCCTGCTGGCTGACTGTAGATACTCCATTGCTACTTTTTCCCTTGGGGTTGGCACAGCTATTAAAGGTTCAGCACATCCTAAGCTGCTCATGTCTAAGGTGAGTGAGACGTTGGATCCTCGTCTGTATGATAAATATATATATATATATGTATATATATTTGTAATTAACTTTTTATGTGAATCTACCTGATAAATTGGAACTTGATGGGTAACACTGGCATGAAAAATTAAGCATATTTATTGGAGAATAAATGCCACTGAATAGAAGGAAGGAAGGAAGGAAGGAAGGAAGGAAGGAAGGAAGGAAGGAAGGAAGGAA